GGTTTTCCATTGAAGAACCCCCAAATGTCAGTATCTGCAGGTCTTTCTTTTGGCTATTCAGTTTCCCCCAGAGAATTTCCTCCAATCTTTCTGTCTGTTTCCTGGGATGGAAGCTTGGCTGGTAGGGTTCTGGGTACTGAAGACGGAGGAACTGTCAGTTTCACTGTTTGATATGCAGGATTTCAGTATGGTGTCTCTCCCCCTTTCTTCATTGTTAAAACTGTCCCAGACAGTAAACTTACCAGTTTCAGCTGGAATGGAGGAGGTAGAGGAATCTGGCTGTCCAGGTAAATGGAGGGAATCTAAGGAACTGCCTTTGTCTTTTTTTTTTTTTTTTGTGAGGAAGATCAGCCCTGAGCTAACATCCGTGCTAATCCTCCTCTTTTTGCTGAGTAAGAACGGCTCTGAGCTAACGTCTATTGCCAATCCTCCTCCTTTTTTTTTTCCCCCAAAGCCCCAGTAGATAGTTGTATGTCATAGTTGCACATCCTTCTAGTTGCTGTATGTGGGATGCAGCCTCAGCATGGCTGGAGAAGCGGTGCGTCAGTGCGCGCCCGGGATCTGAACCCCGGGCCACCAGTAGCGGAGCACGCGCACTGAACCGCTAAGCCACAGGGCCGGCCCTGCCTTTGTCTTATTTTCAAACTATGCCCCTATTTCTAGCCTGACCCCTCACCTGTATCTTTGAGTATATCTAGTGGTGCTAAACCTTTGGAAGATTTTTGGTGAGAACTGGCTTCCTTCATCTTGGCTCGGCACCCCACCTCCCACCTTCTGATTTCTCAGTCTACTAAGGTTCTGTTCATCCAACGAAGGAAAGCAATGGCAGTCTTTTCTTCTTCCAGACCCCTCTCATCTTTCCAAGTGATTCTCTTAGAGAACTCTTCCCTGTATCACTTGTCTTTGGGGAAGGTAAATCACCCTCTTCTTTACTAAGGGGAAAGAAGGAAAAATGTTCTTACCACAAATGCTAGACACAAAGACCAGTGACTCCTGATCCCCTTTCCCCTCCTTATAAAGACACTGTGGTGTGGGGAAGAGGAGGGGATGGTGGAGGAGGGGTGGCATTTGGAGTAGGGCTGGTTTTCCTCATTATTTAACCGTGGGGGCAGGAGTCTGGATCTAGTTATTGGTGGATCATTGGTGGTTCTCTTTAGAAACTCGGCAGTACTTAGCACTTCTAGCCATCAACTTTGGGCCTTAATTGCAATTCCAAGACAAGAGGGAAAAGTTGCGCTCAAAAACAGCATAAAATTCCATTGTATGAGTGGATCTAAATGTATCTTAAATTCCCCGTTCTTAGACATTTAGGAGGTTCTTTTTCACTTTTTTAATGTCGGCAGTGTCACAGTGAACATCCTTATAGTCATTAACCATTATTATTTCCACAGGTGAAATTCCTGTGAGTGGAATAGGTGGGTGATATGATATGCATGTTTTTAATGCTTTTGATATATATTATGTGGTTGCCCTGAAATCTAGTACCAGTTTTACACTCCTCCCAGCAGTACATAAGAGGGTCCTTTTTCCTCTTACCTAGGCTTGCTCCAGCTATTTTATCTTCTTTCCTATCTCTGCCAGTTTGGATAAAAGAATGGCATCTCATGATTTTACTTTGCATTTGCTATCACTAGTAAGAAGGAACGATTTTACGTAAGCTTCTTGCCCATTGAGCTATTTTTTTTTAATGCAGTTTGCCTGTTGGGTCCTCTGACAGTTTTTCTATTGGAGTATTCAATTTTTTTTGTGTGTTGGAGTTTTTTATACATTGATAATATTAATCATATGTCATAAATGTTGCCACTATGTTTCCTGGTTTGATATGCCTATATATATTTATAACACTTTCTGTTATACAGAAAATTTTAATTTTTATATATTCAAATCTTAGATAAGTGCCTTAATTCTCTGAGTCTCAGTTTTCTCTTTTGCAAAAATGGGATAATAACACATACCACACGGTAAGGTGGGGGTAGTATAGTAAATTAACTGCTACATAATAGTTGCTCAGCAAGTGATAACTTTTGTTATTCCCTCTGTGACACATGGAAATAGTTCGGAATCATTTAAATTTTTTACTAGAATTACAAAACATACTCAAAGATGTTTAAACCAGGTGTGAACCTGGATAATAAGTAAAATTCTGAATCTTTTAGGCTAATATAGACAGGTAAGTTTTAATTTCTCTTTTTACTTTTCTAATTCTCATCCTTAAAAAAAAATTAATGAGGGGCCGGCCCCGTGGCGTAGCGGTTAAGTGCGCGTGCTCCGCTGCTGGCGGCCCGGGTTCGGATCCTGGACGCACACCACCGCACCACTTGTCAGGCCATGCTGTGGCGGCGTCCCATATAAAGGGCCCATATAAAGTGGAGGAAGATAGGCACAGATGTTAGCTCAGAGCCAGTCTTCCTCAGCAAAAAGAGGAGGATTGGCGTGGATGTTAGCTCAGGGCTGATCTTCCTGACACACACACAAAAAAATTAATGAGCTCTGATTGATGCATCCTCTTAAGTAGGGAAATCTGAAGCCTGAGTGGAGGGTGAGAAGACTAATGTTTTCTTGTAAGTTATTTGTTAAGGGATTATGAATATATTCATTTCTGGTGAGGATTCCTTTCATAGCACCTTTATTTATTTTATATCAATATAGATCCATCTAATAAAACCAAACGCACACATTAGCCCCTCCTGCTTCTATGACAATATGAACATGAGTTTCCTATTCCCCAGCAGGTCAGTAGAACTTACTCCCTGAGGTCAAGTACAAGTTGGCTTAGGTGGATAATAGTCTATTCAACTGTAAGTTAGATATACTGCTTTTATGAATATTTATTTTTAGGCCACTTAACACCAATACAGATTTTTATTTTGCATGTTGTAACTTCTGAGTAACTTTTTATAATAAATAATAGAATTCTTATAAGATACTGTTATGATAAAAATAATTGTGTGATTTCATCACTATAAGTGAAATCAAATATAGTAATTTCATAAATGGCATAGAGTATGTGGCCTGACTAAAGTCTAGTGAGCTGCATTTTAATATTAGAGCACAGAGTAAAAAAGAAATCACCACTCAGGAAATTTGTAAGCAATTGTTTATCCACCAAATATGCTTTTAGAAATGGCTTCTTTCTTGGTTATTTTTCAGAATTCAGTTTTCCTCCTCTATTTCGTAACATGCCTATCCTACGGAGAGGTTAACTTGCTGAAAGCCAGCAGATGTCCTGTGTGGCTAGCATTGCTCCCTCCTTTCCATATGCCTTAAAAAGTAGCTCACTTCTGCAACAGTTGTGTGTGTGTACACTGCCATTGCAAGGTGAAGAGAATTCTGAATGAATTCCCAAGACTGATGTTGGCAAAGCCATTTAAACATACATGTGCTTGGTGTGCCCATTGACATTTACACTGGCTTCTGTGATTTCTTTGTACCTTTAAAATAGTTTATCATCTCTATAGTCACTCTTTTTTTTTTTTTTTTTTGTGAGGAAGACTGGCCCTGAGCTAACATCCATGCCCATCTTCCTCTACTTTATATGGGACGCCGCCACAGCATGGCTTGACAAGTGGTGTGTCGGTGCACGCCCAGGATCCGAACCGGTGAACCCTGGGCCGCCGCAACGGAGTGCGCGCACTTAACCACTTGTGCCACCGAACCAGCCCCTATAGTCGCTCTTTCTGTAGTGTCATTTTATTATTTTAATATGGCTCTATTCAAATGTCATACAAGGCTTTATGTAAGTCAAATAGCATTTTCCCTGGCAAGTTAATCATTGCAAATGATATTTTTAAGATCCTTTGAGGTGGAGTAGTTATTACTCGGAATGTGACAATTCCAAACCCTTCATAACGACTGTGTGCTTTGTTGCATTTTAAAGGCATTGCTGTAGAACAGTTGAAGAATTAGGTGTTTGTGTATTAAAGGCCTACCACCTGATAATTATCTCAAGGGAGAAATTCGTTTGGTTTAGTTTAAGCTTAATCTAAAGAAAAAATAATTTGTCATATTAGTTTTCAGTAAGACTTTATTAAGATAGATATCCAGAACTAAGTTTAATTGCTTTCACACCTCGATAAGAGTGATTTGTGTGTCAAAATTAAGCATATTGGCAGGTCATCCTGTATAAGTTTGTATGTAGAGTTGAAGTAAACTTAACATTTTCACTTGAGGTTTTTTTTTTAATGGCATTTATTTCTTCTGCTAGTTATTTTATTTTATTGACTGTTAATTTATCAACCCCTCTTTTAAAAAAAAAAAGTGAGAGGAAAAAAGGCCATAGTATTATCACATTTATATATGTGGGTTCCCTAAACCATATGGTGGTTTCTAATTAGAATACAAAGGATTCTTTGATGAGGCTAACTTCATAGTAGTTGGAATGGTGGGCATCACAGAAGGAGAGAGTTTTCCTGAATTTCCGACAAGGGCACTTTCCAGAGAAACAGTGTAGTTTATAATTGTCCTTATACTCGAAGTCTGATAAAGTTATTGATGTGCAGATCAAGTTGGTGTTTCAAAGCTGGTAATTTAATTCTGGAATGTTTGATCCTCTCAGTCAGTGGCTTGACTTAGTTTTTTTTTTAAAGCAGCTTCAATATTTAATTTCACATGTACCCTCTCAGTAGAGATTTCAAAGGATACTTGCTGGATGCTTGACTGCCTTGTCTATTTGCTCTTGTTTTGCATGCAAGAGAGAGCCAGAGGCCTTTCTTCTCATTGTGTACACATAGTATTAATGGATTTACTCTGCCTGTATCGTCTCATTACTGGAAACAGCCAGAAGCACAGAAGTCTTTCAGTGTATGCAAATAAGGCAGAATCATCTACCTGAGAGTTAATATTCTCTGCTTTTAAGTGTATTCTAAATCTAATGTTTGTATTTAGAGCATAACATCCTGTTCTCTTTTTTTATGGGCAAAAAGCTAAGCAGGCTCAGGCAGCTGTTTGATGTTGGCTTCAAGTGTTATTAATTTCATATTCTATTATTCTTTTCACTGTAGCACAAGTGAAGCTGATGTGGAGGCTGTCATGGATAAGTTGTTTGATGAGCTGGCTCAGAAACAAAATGATTGTACGTAAGTTAATTTCTCTTGAAAGAGAATACATTTAGAACACAATGCCCAATCTCCACTGACCAATTAATAAGTTCCATTGCTGTATATGGGTTGATGCCACGCTCAAGTGGCAGTCATTGTATCAGCATTTTGTCTAATTTATGTGTTGAATCATGTGCTATTATTCATCAAGCTATGCATTTCCTATCTGTAAGAGATGAATTTTATAGTAATTATCCAGACAAGATTGAGTCTTTGTTCGTGTTCCCATAGTAACTAGACCAAGGATTCTAAAAGTGCAAGGCAGAGAGCTACGGCTGAATAAAGCCTGTGGAACCGTTGCCGACTGCACATTTGAAGAGCTGTGTGAGAGAGTAAGTATCCAGACACGTTCAGACTCATTGGCCTTTTCACATGTTAAAATACTTCATATTTTCCCCTCTGCCTATTTCAGATTTTAAAATACTATTCACAGAGTCAGAACTGATTTAAAAGTCTCATTAAGGGAAATACTCATCTGTGTATGCCATGTGCTTTTTATAGATATTGGCACAAAAGTTGCACTTAGAAGGACTCTAAAGAAAAATTAGAAATACAGAGAGAACTGTCAACTGTTGCTGGAAGCAAAACTCAAATCAGTTTTAGGGATGTTTTGTAAAAGTCAAATGTAAGAGAATTATGTTTTTAAAAAATTGATATGAGGTTACTAGGTGGTGAAAGGAAGATGAAGTAATACTACCTTGATCCAGGGAAGTACAACATAAAAGAATTTCCATTCCTCGTTCTCATTGCCCATCTGTTATTGCTGTAGTATCTAACCTATTTGGGCCAGGGTCAAAGAAAGTGAATCTCTATAACTGTGACATCTATATTATATAATAATATATTCAACAGAGGAAAAAATGTATAAACACACACATTCATATAAATGAGAAAGACGTTCATTGCAGATTCATTATAGATATGAATTCTGTCTTTAAAAGCTCTGGAATTCTCAGCACTCAATGGATGTTCAATGTATTTATTGACTATAAATCTTGATAAAAACAAATCCAAATTACACATAACTTTAAGCATAATGCCTCAACCGTCAGTTATAAATTATCATTTCTGCTGGTCTCTGATTTATCTTGACTTTTAGGTAACTAAAAAAGAATTATTGGGGTTGGCCCAGTGGCCTAGTGGTTAAGTTCGTGTGCTCTGCTTCAGCGGCTCGCCGTTCACAGGTTTGGATCCTGGGTGCGGACCTATACACCACTCATCACGCCATGCTGTGGCAGTGTCCCACATGGAAAATAGAGGAAGATTGGCAACAGATGTTAGCTCAGGGCCAGTGTTCCTCACCAAAAAAAGAAAAAAAAAAGAACAGGAAAGATTTGTTTTTTGGTAAAGGAGAAGAGAAAATCTTTATTTATACCTGCCAGCCATTTTAGGAGTATTTTCTTAAAAGCTAGTGACTTAATTACTTCTAACCAATGTAAATTTGTAATTTTTAAACCAGAGAGTTAATCCAGTCTACAATTGTTACAGAAACAAAGCACTTCAAAACCAATAAAGCTTAGGATCAATTAGGATCCTCTAACAGGGTGAAAATGTCAATTTCTGTTAGTGAAAGTCATTCTGGGTGATATGGACCCTTCACACTTCTACTGGATCAATCTCATCAAGGTCTTAATAACCTAATATCTCCAGAAAAAGTTCTATTGAGGCTTCCGTTTAAGTTGTACTTACTTTGCCAGAAAAATAAACTTGAGAAAAATCTTGTATATTCAAAAGATGAAGCTCCTCCTCCTTGCACAGAAGGAGATCTAGTGAAGAAAGAGGGGAGGACAGACCTGTTGTAGACCATCCAAAGATGGCCTCTTGGAGCAGATACTGAGAAGATAAAAATATTTATCTATATTTTTTTATGTGTTCATTATTTCAGGAGACTTAATACCAGGAAAAGGCTGCTAATCAGGGACCAAAATCTTCCTAGTCTTCTGTATGAGGGTAGTGGGGAAGAAGATGGATTGGGACTTTAGCTTGAAAAATGAAAATAACACTTATAAAAATAAGTCATTTTTTACCTTATTTGACAAAAATGTGGATTATAATCACAACTATGAACTAAATTTCTAGAATAAACAATGAACAAATTTACAAAATTTTAGGTCAATAAAATAGTATATCCTGCACCTCACAGTTTGGTTGTTCAATTACATAGAAAATCGTTTTTACAAAAGTATTTTAAATACTCATCAGTTTTTCAAAAATCCTCTTTTTAATTCATGAATATTTCAATTAGTTTCTTTTAAAGTTGTTATGGTGTCATTATCCTTTTTGGTTTTTTTCCTCATGTTGGCCAGATCCTCATGTGTCAGTGGCTTTGCATGGATAGGTTTGCTTTTTATCTACATTATAATTGTGGGATTTTTACTACAGCAGACAAGCACTGAATGACTGATGAAAGACACTGACATGATGGGTGGGGTTAGGTACCAGTATTAGCCTGTAAGGGATGTTTGAGGAAGGGCTACATTTTCAAGTGGTCATTTCCTTTGACTATTTTCTTGTTATGATGATTTTATATTTCTTTGCAACCTCATAACTGTGGCAATTTAGATATTAAATACTTGCATGAAGAGGACTGTTGAAATCATTCAGCTGCAGGTGTAACCTAAAACTCTTAATTAGTTATAATGATCTTATGAGCCAGGCTAAATAGTTGCCAAAAACTGTTCAGTAAAGAAAAAACACAACCAACCCAAGGTAAAAAAGCAGGCATCTGGTATGTCTGGGATAGTCCCAGCTTTGGATCACCTATTCTAGTTTTCTGGGAGGCTCTTGAAGCCTGAGGCTCATCCAACCACAACTCCTGACACTCCATCATGAAAAAAAACCCTTTGGCAAAGAGTGGATGGGTTGAAAGTCTGTAATGATTATATTTGAGCCATGGCCCCTCCCAAGGAAAAATAATATATTTATAAACATATATTGGGTAGAAACTTATCTGTTAGTGTCTTGATAGGTAAAAGAAGGTTTTGACTATAAGTCCTTGATGTACACCATAAATAAAACTAAAAAGGCCCGGGACATTCCCCTCTTCTTACACCTCTCTCTCTCCATGCTTCAAGCACATTTCCTGAGATCTGGAATCCTGCAGGTTAACATCTAGCCCTTGGTATCTCTGGGATTCTCTTTACAAATCTATAATTCAACAGTGTCATGTGCAGGGAGGCAGTACCAATTAGGAAACTCTAGAGCACCTGCATAATAATAATAGCAAACATTACCATGTATTAGGCATCATTCTAAGCACTTTATATATATTACCTCATTTAATATTTAAAATAGGTAGGCACTATTATTGTCCGCATTTTATAGGTGGAGAAATTGAGGCACTGAGACGTTAAGTTACTTTCTCAGGATCACACAGCTAGTAAGTGGCAGACGCAGGGCTTTGAACTTTTTGGTAGTCTGGGAATATTATTGTCCGCATTTTATAGGTGGAGAAATTGAGGCACTGAGACGTTAAGCTACTTTCTCAGGGTCACACAGCTAGTAAGTGGCAGACGCAGGGCTTTGAACTTTTTGGTAGTCTGGGAATCAGGTTCTGTACTCTTAATGACTACCCTATATCTGAAAATGTTCTGGTCAAGTTACATCAAACTGCGTCAGTTACATCAAATCTTTAGTATAATTCTGGTTCTCCCATGAAGTATGATCAGATGCTTTGTGAACTCCCACATCTGAGCTAAGCTTTGAGCCTTTTATGGAGCATGAAGCTGGCTGGGCAACAGACATCCTCCAGTCTGAGAACCTTAGTACAGAACTGTCCAACTCACGTGCCTTGGCATACCCACTGGGAATGGACACAGCTACTGACCCCTCCGTCCTCCTGAAGGCTATATAGCGCCTATACTTCCACACTAGGGACCTCAAGCCTTAGGCAGCCTCATTCATTTGCTCCTTAATAAAAATATTATCATTTTCTCTCCCTGCCATGATATGAAAAGATTGGGAAGCCCTGTTTTAGAGAACGGTGGGAGGGTAAAGGAGAATATGTTTTGGTGCTGTTTGTTCCCTGTCACTCCCTCCATATCAGAGCGTGGTAAAGGAAAGTGAGGCAGATTCTTTTCAGTGGACATGACATGAGCTTTCAGGTTTGCTTACCTTGACACAATTTCTTGCCTTAATCGGAGGCTAGTGGAGAAGTCAGAAATGTGATTACTTAAGTCAGTGGTTCTCAAAGTGTGCTTCTTAGACCTCTAGGGGTCCCTAAGACCCTTTCAGGAGTCATTGAGGTCAAAACTCTCTGTAATAATACTAGGACACTACAGTCATGCACCGTATAATGACGTTTCAGTCAACAAAGGACCACATATACGATAGTCCCATAAGATTAGTACCATGTAGCCCAGGTGTGTAGTTGGCTATAACATCTAGTTGTGTAAGTACACTCTATGATGTTCACACAATGACAAAATTGCCTAACAATGCATTTCTCAGAACATATCCCTGTCGTTAAGAGATGCATGACTGTATTTACCTTTTTCACAGTGGTAACATTTGCAGTAGTAGTGCAAAAGCAATGATGGTAAAACTACTGATGCTTTACTATGTATCCAGGCAGTAGCACCCAACCATATTGTATTCTTCATTGCCCATGTATTTATAGTAAAAAAAAAAAAAAAAGAAAAAATCCAGTTCCACTTAAGAAAGTCCTTGAAGAAGCAGTAAAAATGATTAATTTTGTTAAATCTCAACCCTTGAGAACATATCTTTTTAATATTCTTTTTGATGAAGGAAGTACGTATAAAGCACTTCTGCTGTGTGCCAAATACAATGGTTGTCTTGAGGAAAAGCACTTGTGCAATTTTTTGAGTTGTTAGCTGAACTAGCCACTTTTTTCATGGAACATCATTTTTACTTGACAGAATGAGTGACAAACTATGGTTATTCAGGCTTGGCAGACATTTTCTCACGTTTGGCAGTCATTTTCTTGAAAATGAGTGAAGTAAGACCATCACTTTAAGAAAAAGAACTAACAGTATTTGTTGCCAGTGATAAAATTTGAGCAAACAAGTAAAAATTAGAATTTTGGAAAACTTGTTGCTGTCACCATGAACTTGACAGCTTCCCAATTCTTAAACATTTTTATCTGATGAGATTGATGGTGATATTATCAAATGCAAAGTTTTGACATTGTGTAATTAAATGTGTCAACATTTGGAAGATCTACATAACTCATTAAACCAATATTTTCCAATAACTGATGCATGTTCTTACAAAATCATGCATGACAAAAGATCTATTTAAAATGCAAGAAAGACTCATGGATTTTAATATAACAGAATTAAAAAATTCTAATATTGTTTCAGATTCTACATTG